TGAGAGCCATACAAGGAAACCAGGAAGGAACGTTGGCTCAGAAGTGGCGTAGCCATCACGAATACTCTTCTGCCACTCTTGCTCATGCGTCGTAAAAGTCTTGGCAAGCTCGTGACATTTTTCAGCAAGCCTGGCTGTCTCAGAAATAGGTGCATACTCAGATGGATCCAGCGCGTACGGGAGTATCGTGTCGATGGTTTTTCACCTTTATTCTTGCTGTGACGGGTGCCTCCCGTACAGCAAGAAGAAAGGTGAAAAACCGGTCGTGCTCTGAGGCACGGTTTTGTAGACGTAGGTGACGAAGGGCAGTATAGTATCCCAATCCGTGTGGTTGGCAGCAACGTACATCGAAAGCATGTCGCCGAGGGTCCGGTTAAAGCGTTCGGTGAGACCATTAGTCTGCGGGTGATAAGCAGCAGTTTTGCGGTGGACAGAATGACACTCAGTGAGAATGGCTTCGACGACTTTTGACAAGAAGACACGGCCTCGATCGCTAAGAAGCTCCTGGGGCGGACCATAGCGCAGTATGAATCGAAGCAGTAGGAAGGAGGCAACATCACACGCAGTAGCCACAGGAAACGCGGCGGTTTCGGCGTATCGCGTTATATGATCTACGGCGACGATAGCTTAGCGGTTACCAGCCGACGTCAGAGGAAGTGGTAAATACAAATCGATACCTATGCGCCCAAACAAACAGTCAGGGCAAGGTAACGGTTGCAGACCGGCTGGCGACATGTGTGCTGACGGTTTGCGGCGTTGGTAAGCAAGGCAGGAGCGAACGAACTGCTGCACGTACCGGTACATCCCGCGCCAGAAGTAGCGTTGTCGAATGCGATGGAAGGTTTTCAATACCCCAGAGTGCGCGCATTGCGTATCAGAATGGAAGGATTCACATATCTCTGACCGCAGACTGCGGGGTATCACGAGTAACCACTGCCGGCCATCGGCATCGTAATTGCGTCGGTGTAGGAGGCCGTCACGAATGGCGAAATGATGAGCTCGACAACGCAAGGCACGCGTGGATGGCCTGAGGGATCCTTCAATGATGAAAGCCAGCATAGTGCATGATGGTCGGTGACGACATCGAATGGACGACTATACAAATAAGGTTGAAACTTTGTAAGGGCCCAGACAATTGCCAGGCACTCTTTCTCCATGACGGTGTAGTTTGTCTCGGCACTAGTGAGCGTATGGCTTGCATATGCCACGACATATTCAGGGAATCCGGATTTGACCTGCGCCAGGACTGCGCCGAGGCCTACAACCCTGGCATCCGTGTGCAGCTTCGTTGGGGCCGTAGGGTTGTAATAGCGTAGAACGGGAGGAGACGTCAACAAATGGCGGAGCTTCGCGAAGGCGTCGTTGCACTCGGACGACCGCGAATTGAGGGGCCCGTTGCTTCCAAGGAGCTTCGTCAGCGGTGATATGATTGTGGCGAAGTTTCGTATGTAGCGTCGGAAGTATGAGCACAGGCCCACGAAACTACGCAGTTCTTTGACGGACGCATATTTGGGGAATTTGGCCACGGCCGAAAGCTTGGCTGGATCAGGAAGAATGCCATCCTTGGACATGACGTACCCTAGGATGGTGAGTTGTCGTGCTTCAAAGTGGCACTTCTTCAGATTTAGTTGCAAGCCGGCATTGCTCACACGTGCGAAAACTTCTTTCAGACGTTGGAGATGCGTGGAGAAATCTGGAGCGAAGACAACAATGTCATCGAGGTAACACAAGCACGTGTGCCATTTCAAGTTGCGCAGAACGGTGTCCATCATGCGCTCAAAGGTCGCAGGTGCATTACACTGACCAAACGGCATGACGTTGAATTCGTACAAGCCGTCGGGTGTGATGAAGGCAGCCTTCAGTCGAGCGTCATCAGCCATGGTACTTGCCGGTACCCCGAGCGCAGATCGAGAGAAGAAAAAAATTCGGCTCCGTGGAGGCTGTCAATTGCGTCATCAATGCGTGGCAGGGGGTCGCCATCTTTGCGAGTGATCTTATTAAGCCGTCTGTAGTCCACACAGAACCGCACAGAACCATCTTTCTTCGCAACAAGAACAACAGGAGACGTTCATGTACTGTCCAACGGCCGAATAACGTCGCGTCGAAGCATATCATCAACCTGCTCGTTAATTTCCCGACGTTCAGCAGGCGACACGCGGTATGGACATTACCGTAATGGTGGATGGGCACCAGTGTCGATACGATGCGTAACAGTGGACGCGCGGCCGAGAGAACTTCGCCCGACATTGAAAGAAGAACGGTATTCTTGCAACAGGTCCAGAAGCTGGGAACGCTGTATCGACGTAAGTTTGTCATCAATGTAGGGGTCAAATATATCAGGAGATAATGAATCAGAAGTGGAAACAGCACTGATGGTACGCGAATCAGGACAACACGAGTCATCGGGCACATCCAGGACTTGTGCGTCGTCGGCTGGTTCCACTCTGCCGAGATATTCCCCTCGAACCAAGGTAACAGTGTACGGGAATGGGTTGGTCACAGAAATATCGGCGTTGCCCTGGATGATTTGCATGGTCGCGAAAGGTACTAGAACCCTTTCCTCTGGAAGCACGGTCGGATGGCGAAACGAGTGCAATTGTGTCGGAGAGACCGGTACAGTACACCCATCGTCGAGCTTGGAGGCACTAAAGTATCGTCTTTCACGAGAATCTTGCTCAGTGTCGAGGGACTGTCTTCTGGCGTCAAATGCAAGAAGGGTGAGAGTTCAATTTCAGCGGCGGCACAATGAATGACGGCATCATTGCGAGAGCGAAAATCCCATCCCAGGACGACGTCATGACAACATGCAGGAATGATGATGAATTGAGCGACATACAGAACGTCCTGAACGACAACGCGAGCTGTGCACCCTGCTATAAGATGAATACGATGTGAACTAGCGGTACGAGGGGACAACCCGGAAATTGGCGTCGTCACTTTTCGAAGCAAGCGGCAAAGGTTTTCGTCTATAACTGATACGGCAGCTCCAGTGTCAATAAGAGCAGATGCATGAACACCGTCCACAAGCACATCAATGACATTAGATGGGCGGCTCTGAGGGCTTTCACAATGCGATAGCGTCGCAGCCCTTGCCTCGAGGACTGTGACGACTAGTTTTCCCGCTCGTAAGCAGCTGAACTTGGCCGCATGGGGGACTGAGAACGACGTCGTGGAAACTGTGATCTTCGAGGAGATGGACCTGGGCAAAACGGCGGTGGCATAGACGGCGGTTCTTCCTGATAGGGACGGCTGAGGTGGCCAGCAACAGGCGAAGAAATTGGAGCCGGCTGTACGCGATGGCAATAACGGGCTACGTGACCGGCATAACTGCAGGCAAAGCAGATGGGCCGGTTGTCGGGTGTGCGCCATCTGTTCACCGGGGTAGGTCTCACCCATGTTGCAAGGGCCGATGAACGGAACGGTGGCTGCATGATGGGCTGGAGCTAAGTCTGAGGGGTCGCGTCAACATACACAGCCGGCATACCCGCTGCAAAGGACGGAGGTCGTGCGGCAGCTTCAGCGTAAGTCAGTGGGGCGGACGCTTCAACGACTGGAGGCGGCCTGGCGACGACTTGGGCATAACTTAGGGGTGGAGGGGCCGACAGTTGTTGTGAGTTGTACGCAGGCATGGCCTCCGCTATTTCATGCTCAATCGCTCGGCGGATGGATGGAAGAATGGTAGGGGCTGATTGTTGAACAGCCGGTGGGTGGGCAAAGGGCACGAGAGAGAACTGGTGCACGATTTCCTCATGTATGAAGGACTTGAGGTCTGCCAGCAGCGCCACCTGATCACATCTTGCCAGCAAGCCCTGCATCTCGTGGTGTGGAGCGACGGGTCATTGAACGCTGCCGGCGGAGCTCCTCGTAGCTCTGGCAGAGCGTGATGACCTCAGCCACTGTGCCTGGGTTTTTGGCAAGCAGCATCGTGAAGGCATCATCGTAAATGCCTTTCATGACGTCCCGGATCTTGTCAGATTCGGACATGCTGTAGTTGTATTTCTTGCACAAGTCCAGGACATCTTCGATGTAACTGGTGAATTATTCACCGGCCTGCTGAGCACGTTTGTGCAAGCGCTGCTCGGCTTGCAGCTTACGAACTTCAGGGCGGCCAAAAACGTTGGTGATAGCGGTCTTAAAATTGGACCAGGTTGCGAAATCGGACGCATGGTTGCTGTACCACAAACTTGCAACACCCACAAGGTAGAACACCACGTTTGTCAACTTGCCATTTTCGTCCCATTTGTTGGGGACGCTCACGCGCTCGTAAATGGCGAGCCAGTCCTCCACGTCAGTGCTATCGGCTCCCGTGAAGATGGGTGGATCGCAGATCCTGGGGACACCGGGACAAGGGGGTGGCATGGGAGGAGGGGTTTGCTTAGAGGCATCGTGGGACATGGTAGATAGCAGGGCACGTGATCGTAGTTCTAAGGGCATCGAAAGGAATTGTAGCACTCTCCACCAATTTGCTAGGGCTTTTATTTTTATTAGCCGGCACACAGCGAGCATACACAATGGCAACTGTAACGGCCAAGCACGGACTCTCAGCGCGAGCGGCGTCCTTCTTGGGTAGACCCACTAGAAAGCACTTGAGAGTTCGACTCATTTCATTGTTCGGCGGCTTTACATTATTATTATTATTATTATTATTATTATTACATAAGCCACATTGGTATAGGGAAGACAAGCAACTTACAAAAATCGCTTGCTAAAGCTTAAATTAACTTTTCATCTTTATTGTGATTTAGTTCATCCTACATTGATCCTGAAATGCACAAAAAACATTATCAAAAAGACAGCATTGTTCCAAACTCTCACAAAACACACAGCTTAAAAAATATTTGGCCTATCTTCTTGACATCAGTGCTGCAATCTAAGGCAGCAACTATCTGTATCAGGGTCTCTTTGCGCCCAATACCCTAGCATCTCTGCCATTCTGATGTCGCACAATGCCACTTGGGATGAACCGACATTTCCGCAACAGAACATTTTTGCATACTCACAGCCGCCGTGCCCTTTAAATGCATCGACAACATCTCCCGCTTCTCCATAAGGGTTCGATTCAGCAGTGGCTCCCGCTTCTCATCAGGTCAGGTTCATGTCATCCTGAAACCAAAATAAAGAGGTGGACATATAGAAGACAGTCACCTGCAAACAACTGCACGATGAGGCATATCACCCTAAGAGACACAGGCAGTAAAGGTGTAGGTTTCGAATTGATTGTGCAAGTTGGCATACAACTTTCTCATCACCACGAACCTGCCACGAATTGCACAGTGGGGCTTGTGCCACCCAAAAATCTGCTGCCCTGCACTCTATGTCCTTGAGCCCATTTCAATTTTCTATGACTGCATCGGCCAATAGTTCTGGTTCGAGAATACGTGATTCTAGCGTGTGGCAGCACATCGTGGGCTCGTGCAGTACCTACTAGACACCGCACGTGACCGCTAAGACTGCTAATAACTGTCACACTCACTTTCTACAGCCTCCTGTGTAGTCCATGAAAACATTGCCAAGAACGAAGTATACAATGCAATAAAATCTGACTAACACGCTAACAAGTCTAAATAACAGAGCAGCAGAGTTTTCTACATTCAGAAATCATTGTGGAAGCTTCAATAGCACAGCAAAACGGCACGACCTGTTCAAGCAGTATGATGGTGCCGGCTCAAAGTGGGTGGTATGCAGTCGTAATCTGATGTGTGTGCTGTGGAATCAGCATGCAACCAAGCCGTGTGCTAAACTAACTTTCTCCATATCGCAAGAAAGGTGAAAAATATTGTAACAAGTTTCTCAGAAATAGTGTATAGGCAAGTTTCGTTTCCAGCACAAGAATTCAAAGACCGAAAAATTGAGACAAAGATTGCTACACACAAGTCATGCAGTGTCAGAAACAGACCAGAGTACAATTGGCTGAATTAATCGTCATGTGTTTGAAAAGCGAATGCTTTTCCTCAAAGCAACTACGGTATTTTTGGCAAGAGTACAGAAAGGATTAAAAAACAGCTGCTTGCCCTGTTGCCGGCTGACTGCAGGTTTTGTGCTGTAATACCGATTTGTACTACAATACCAGAGAGGTATTCACACGTAAATAACCCGCGTTCAATGTAGGGATAAGACATTATGAGCAATGGTTTGAGCAAGTAAAAAAGTACACGACATGCCACTGGTCGCTTGGACTCAGTGGAAACCCACTCAAAACTTACTGAATGTAGTTTTCGTATGAACAGTGACATGATGAACTTTACATTGATGTTGTCCATGCTTCCAACTTCAGAAAGCACTAGCGTACTCATTCTAATTAATGGATACCCATAACGCTGCATTTTCGTTTTGCATGGTTGGTGGTGGACTTTTGCAAAAATCTCATGCCAATGACGAAGGAGAACATGATAGCTCAAGAACATAAATGGCCAGCTGAGCGGTAAGCTTGGATGCACCTTTTAGTACAAACTTTACAAAACACTAATACAGCTTTTGATGCTATACAAGAGGATACTTGTTGTGCATGAGGCAAGCAATGAAATCCTTTCAGATTTTTAACATCTGCAGCTTGCTTACAACAGGACAATGCTCCCCTTCACGTTTCGTCATGTGGCACTTCTATTTGAATGTCTGAGTACGTTATAAAGTTAAACTGCCTTTTCCTACCTTACTTTTTTCATACACTGCACCCCTGTCACATAAGGGTAATACAATGGCTTAGACTTCATTCAAACGCTATCACCACTAGACTTCTCACCACTATCACACAACTACAGCAGGACAAACAGTTGGGAAAAAGAGACAAACAAGCGCTGTACAGCGCTTGTTTGTGTCTCTTCTCTTCGTCCGGTGAGTTTGTACGCTGGTACTGCCCATAATGAATCACACAACTACCAGGATTTTATTTTGTGCGCATGAGAAAGACTGTCCGAGCATTTCAGCAGGCGTCTCTTTCAACAAATCACAAAAAAGAACGCTGAAGAAGTTGCAACATTCCCAGCTATTTTGTTGCAAGAATGTTGAGCCTGCATACCTTGTATCATTACGCGATACACAGGCTGCATACCATGTACAATGCAAGAGAATCGTTACAAGTTGAACGTGTAAGCTTTCTGTCCAAACCCAGGAGCAACTATGGAGCATTTTGAACCTCTGATGCCAACCGGATGGATCGAGAAATTTACTCACCAGCATTCGTTCAAACTCCCGATTCACTTCCTCTTCATTGAGGCTGTTCACATACACTTCTACTGCAGGCTCGGCAGAGTAATTCTCTGACGTCGGCCTCGGTTGTGTTGGATAAGGCTGGCCACCGCCCGCCTTGGACGGCTTCTTTCGCCCTCGACTTCCAAACATGTCCAGCTAGAATGCAGCGGGCACACACAAGCAAGCTTTACGCCAATTCTTCGGCAAATAGCAGATGATTGCTTCTTTATTGCTCAACTGCAAAGTTTGTAGAAACTCTCTCTTGCATTGTAACCTAATAAAGAAACGTAATTTTGCGCAAGTGTTGGAGGGATTCAATAAACACTGTCGTTAACCGAACTTTCTAGCAACTGTAGTTATGGCTGCACTAAAATAAACCGCTCAACCATTGACGAACCGCCCACACCTTCCACGTCCCCAACAGCCTTCCCTCTTCTAACTGTATGACTACCATAACAAAACCACATCGGCAAAGAAGAGAGAGGGGTTATTTTATTTTTTAGTCCATTCTTTTGTGAGAACAAGGTGGCCTTCCTTGCAGCAATTTTTCACGAACAGTAGTATAAGACTGATGTAAGCTCTATGCACAATAGTTGACAAGAGAACCATGCTTACTATGCATCGGCAATATGTGAAAAAAAAAAAAAAAAACTGAATTTATTTTACTTTCATGTCTGGAACTAAACATCAGCATCAGAGGTACACATTCATACTGGCTAGAACATGACCTACAACCACAACAAGAAAAGTTATCAGCGTTCAGTGCAGAAATAGTTAACTACGTTGTAATGAAAATTTGTGCTATTTTAATAGTGGACGATCCAAAGCAAGTATGATATCAAGCGGCCGCTTATTGCCAGAGATCTGCACTTATTAAAGACCAAAGCATAGCACTAATGTTATTGGAAGAAATTAACTTGAATCCCGATGAGCACTTTTTTTCGCAAGTGACCTGACCCCATTTTACCCTACATTTTTTGCAGAGCTTCAAGAGGGTGGAGGTAAATAATGCTATTAAGATGTACAGATGTTCATCAGTAGCATATATTTAAATCTCAGCACTGTTTCCATTTTAGTGACTTATGATAGATTAAGAACTGCTTTTAATTGAAGATATGAGAATATCACTCATACTCCTGTAGCAAATGTCTGCCATGTATGTAAATGCCTTGTCTTCTAATCTTACTTCTTTAAAACGATGTTTGATTGAGCCTGCCAGAGAGTACTTTCACACTGCTTTAAACTATTTCAGCACTCTACAGAAGTGTTTATTTGAAAAATATTTAATTGCAGCCTGAATGCAAATGGAAAAGAATCAAAGAAGCAGCACAATCTCACCCTTTGTCTTTCCACCATTCGCTTGAAAAGCATTCAATAAATGTATAACAATACAAAATATTTACATTTTACGAGGAAATATGAAAATTCCGGTGCCAGAATACTATTCCATGCTTGCCTTTCAAAGCAGAACAGTTACTTCATTGTCATAATTAGAAAAAAAAAACAAGGCCCTGACTGGTAATTTTGCTGGGCAGCAGGTAGTTTCTTTTATTATCTGTTTATTTATTTATTAAGAAGAAAATCATAGTTATAAGAACACTATAACAGTACAGCTTTACACAAAGAAAGCTCTACTAATTTGAAGTTAGGTGCTCATAAAAAAAAAATTTAACGGGGTACTCACATTGAAATTCTTCAAAACAATGGAATCAAAAATAAAATATATAACCAAAATACTGAGAGTTCTAATAAAATCCTATTCGTGTTAAATTTTACACAACTCTTTACTAGAAAATTATGTTAGCATACTCACAATGCCCGAGTTCGATTAACATACTTTCAAACGTAACTGAACATAAGGTCAAAAATTACACTTCGATACTTATGCAGCAAGCTTACTTCAAAACAAGTGTCCTTTAAGGGAAGATGCGAGTGAATAAGCAATCTTTCTTCCAAAATTACATACTTTTTGTTTGCTTTGACAAGCATACTTTCTCTAGACTCGTGACAAAAAAACTGAAGATTGCAATAAAAGTCGAAGTAAGTTAAAGTTGCTTTTTTTAGAGCACAAAGCGGTGACTAAAAACTAAAAGAAGCTCATTGCCTAGAGTCCCCTGGAAACTGTCACCTGGCTATTTGCCTTGGCATTGTGCATGGGCAGTTCACTAACTTCACATGCTCAAAATAACATTGATTGTAAGGCTCTCCCAATGAAAGAAATCATCTTAAAAAAAAACATTTTTTCTGCCCAGATGAGCTTTCACTTATACTTTTAAAATGAGTTTTTCTCAAGATCCATTTTTGGGCAACTTCTCGAGTTTAGACATCGTGTTTTTGGTATTTCTGATAGCCCGATCCGAATGAAATTTTGCCCACATATTCCTTAACATGTGAGGTGTGCAAATATATTTTTTTAAAACCTGGTAACAGCTGTATAACTATTGCAAACAAAGTAAACAATCAGTATGGGCTGAGGATTCTCAGCATTCTCACATTACAATTTTTATTGTGCATTAAAATGTCTTATATGCACTTTCTTGATAATTATTTGCATTCTACAGTTAATGTAGAGCAATATGGGCCATTAATAGCCTGAGAACCACAAGCTTTTTAGGGGCATAAAAAGTTTGTCCAAAACCAATTATACGTTACACATTGTCATGACATAAACTACAACGGTGCCACTTACCATAAAACTAACTACATAATTGAAATCTGCATAAGAGCCCATATATAGAGCGAAAATTTCTTTAACTTAGGACTACAGATTAACGCTTTTTTTTCCCTTTTTTTTTGAAATCGCATCTCCCCTTGAGCAGCTGTGCGTATACGGGTAGTTCCCATTGCGAAAGCTGCGTGCGTCAGCTGCTAGATTAAAGCCGGCACTATAGAACAACAAAACAACGGCTACAGACAAAAATATAGCAAAGCACATGCAAATGGCATTGCACCACTATTTTAGCCGCCAGTGTTATTCTAGTGACGCCAGAAAGCAGTGGGAAAGGGAGGTGGGGGGCAGAGGTGACAAAAGCAGCGCGCAGTCGGGCATCTATTAATAGGGAACAGCGGGGGATACCATTTTTGCCGATATGTACCGTTAACTGCAGCTAACCGAAAGCGAATACGCGCGCTGCGCGCGGTTCTGCGGGATTCAAAATTTTCGAAGCGACAGAGCCGCAGGTGCAGCGCGTTAGTAAAGCCGCCCGATCGTCGCACAAAAAGTTGCCGCTGAAAATCATTGCCACCCCACTCAAGACTCCGCCAAAGCTTCCGGTGAGAACAGCTGGTTAAACGTGCAACGCCGAACGTGTAGGCGACTAACTTACCAGCATGACTGATGACCTTTTATTAGACATGTTAGCCAAAGCTCATGGCATCTTAGTTCACTAAAAAGAGAGACAACAACGTGGTGTATCACATTGCGAAATCATCGAAGACGCGAACACGTTTACGCCGTTACACAATATGCACAAGACTGGGGCAACACCAGCTGCAAGTGTCATCCTACGCGATAAACTTTCCAAATCTGCAAACAATAGCCCGATACACGTTTAGTCGTGGTTGTACCGTCCGGCTACGAAAAAGGAACGACCCTTTTCAAACGTCAGCCGACTGCATGCACGAAAGCAAGCTCGCACACCTGTGCGCGTCATCCACAAGCGACGATCCGCGGCTGCTGGCTGCGCTGGCACGCGCAAAGATACCTTCCTCGAGCAAAATGTTCTTAAAAGTCACGGTTTCCTCCTCAAAACAACCTCCTTTCGATTCCGATCATTAAAGTGTCGCACGAGAAAGATAGCACCGTTACTTCCTGTTAGATCTCTTGCAACCCCAATTAACGTTGACAGGAACTCTGCGAGTACGTCCACCAGCCACTGGGTTTATCGGAATTTCGCACACATCTGTTGATGCCTGCAGTGTCGTCCCTCAAAGCGCGAAGTTATTTGACACGCCGGCAGAGAGCCAAGATTTAATCTTGCAACCGTGGACGTGCGCTGACGGTGTGCGAAGACCGCGTTTCCAAAGAGCGGGGCCTGCGCGCAGCTAGGAACTCAATCACGGCCATGCCAACGGTTCAGACATGCGCAGGACACACTACCGCGGCTATAAATGTGAACAATAACACTTACGTTTACTGCCGTTCACGTTATTTTATCCAAGTTCACAGTTTACCACAGGTGCCACTCCGCCCAAAGCGACCACCATGACCTCCTGTCGACTAACCGTCCCCCTAGCGGACGCCTAACGAACTTTCGACATCGGTATATGTTCCAGGAAGACGAGCGCGGCCGGCGAGACCATGACCTACTACACTCCTGACCTGCCCAGAGAGCACCTCTTCCAGCGCCCACGTTCTAGTTCATACCTTCTGCCGCTAGGGCCGTCACCTACGAGCGGCGTGGCGCTAGGCAGCACCTGTTCGCTGTCGTCAGCTTGAGTGTTCGTGGTCATATTTCGGCCAACAGAGCACTCATATTGCGTAATTATTATGCACTAATGAAAAATAATTTTGAAACAAATATTTCAAAAGTCATTCACAAATTCTTTGCAATTAAATGGACGCAACATCACATATGCTGTCCTACACTATGTAAGTCTACGGATTCTCGCATTTGTCCACCAGTGTGCAATAAATTTTTCGTCACACTGAACAGCTTACTTGACCAGTCATCTAAGTGAAAAAATAGTCACATATATGCCGGCTGTTCATCACGGAATGCAGCCGTTCTTACTCTAGCGCCGTCCAAACAGCCGTAAAGTAGCAGACGAACAGGTTATAGGTAGCGCCACCTACGGCGAGCGATTGAACGAGAGCGGGGACACGCGCTCCCATAGGAACCCCGCTATCTGAACAGGTCAGGAGTGTAGTAGGTCATGGGCGAGACAACCAAAAAGGAGGTCACCGTGGAGTACAATACAAGCAGTGGAGACTTTATTAGGCTGCCCGGTGTTGGTAACAAGACGTTGCTCTGCATTGCACAGCCGGTGCTTGCTACACTAAAACCAGAGTCCTTCAATATTCCAAAACGTAGCGATGACGTCAGAATGAAGCAAAAGGTGCGTGCGAGACCTCCCGCGCTTCCCGCCTTTTTCAGCGCGCGCTGTCAGACAGTGACTCAGGGCTCAGGTGATTTATTAAAACAGTTGCGCTAATGCGTCTTCAAAGCCATTGACATCACTCCTGCGGAACAGCTCCACTCACACTACTGCCTTGCATCGCATCGTGCGTGTTTCCTTACGTTATTATTATTATTATTATTTTTCTTTTTCATTCATACAACTCCCGCTAGCTTCGACCTTGACGAGCGTCAGCAACAGCGCTACATCGTGCGTGGCCTGCGCGCCGACGTCAAAGATAAAAACGAAGAAAGTAATTGGCGGTACGGCCAGTATATCCGACAATATACCGGTCGTTCTGAAGTGTTTGTTTTATACCTCGTGCACGAAAGATGTAAATAAATGCATGTAATTCGCGTGGTGACAGTTTAAAGACGCTGGCTTACCGGCCTGGGACTTATTTAATCCTCAACTTGATAATTATGATAATTATATTCCCACAGTTTTACCTAACGAGTAAGAGGCGGTCTTCTTCGTCATGTCACTGAGCTGCACACGGTGGAAAACTATTTCACCCTTGAGAGTGTACGGCAGGTAGTAACGTATTTTACGCCGCCTGACGGCATGCTGGGAATTGTTATGCGCGCGTCGATTATCTTTTAGTTTATCGGTGCGCCGTCAGTTAACGGAAGATATATGAGAGCACATTTATTTATTTATTTATTTATTTATTTATTTATTTATTTATTTATTTATTTATTTATTCGAGTACCTACAGCGCCCAATTTGGGCATTACAGTAGGGGGGAGGAGACATAAAACTTGAAATTGATACAGGGTATGAATACCGATAACAAAACAAGTAAGCATGCTCAGCTTATACAGTGTGTACACATTCTCGGGAACACGAGGCAATCAAGGAAAAGTAAAACACAAACAGAAATGCAGACAGAAATTGGCATCTTTCATTTCAACAAAAATTGTGACAGAGCATTTTGAAATGAGGGTGGCGGGGTGGATACAATATATTCTGGTAGGTTGTTCCATTCGTGTGTGGTTTTCGGGAAGAAGGAGTTTTTGTAAGTATTTATGCGACATCGGTATTCGCGAACTTTGCGGGAGTGATCTAGGCGAGAGGATACATAAGTGGGATCTTTAATGTACACGTCTTTATTTAAACCGGTAGTAGGCTCTCGCTTTCGACCACATATATAGCGCAAGCACTTTAGGCACACACAACGACGTAGACTGGGAGGGTTAGTCCGGTTTGCAACCCCGCGCAGACAAGGGAAACTTTGTTTACGAGGATGGAAGCTAGGGAATCAGATGAAAGAATGTTGGCGCTGAAAAATAAGCAGGAACGTGTGTCACCATCGGAGCTTCTTAGCCAAGTTAGTAAAAAATAGAAAGCGAGCCAATGCAACACCGGAGGTGTTGGCCAATGCAATAGCAGCGGATACGTCCGTGACACGTACGTTGAAAAGTATTTCACGAGATAACGTCACCGTGTTTCACTTGGCAGCTAGCATAGCCTCGCACTAGCCCCTCTCACGCTGCAGGAGCATTAATAGGCTTGGGCTCTGACGCTGAATTCGCTTTCCAAACATTAAAAGTGAAATGAATCGTAAGCAACGGGTATTGGTTACGTGTCACTTGTATAGCAGTATGGTTCAACCAATGAAGCTGTGTGTAACTCGCGTGCTCTGAACAACAAAGTTAGTCGCGCAGAAATATCTACTAGTATTCCCCGTATGGGTTGCGAAATTCGAGATGAAAAAAAGCTTGCTTGGCAACGCGCGTATTTGAAGCTCGGAAAAACAGCTGTACCCTGCAGCTACACAAAAGAAGGGGAAGGCGTCAGGATGGCCAGGTGGGAAAAATGCTCTGAGTCACATACATGTGACCGTGCCTAAAAAATAACACGCACAATATATCTAGCTATATAGAATGTTAAATTTGCCGAACGCATTACTGACTAATTATTGCAGTATACCTCATGTACTACAGTTATAAGACATATGATATAAGATGTGTGAAATAATCTAAATACAGTTGAACCCCTTTATAAGAGGCATGCTGACAGCAATTCTTGTCTTTTATATGAGATGTCTCTTACAAACAGGGTAACAAATGTGCATTTACCTACCATCCCATAGTTTACTGTAGGCACAGTAGTGTCTCTTATACCCATTTGTCTCATATCAGTGTCTCTTATAATGGGGTTCAACTGTACCGAAAACTTCCCCCAATTTTTTTTAGTTTTCCCTTTGACGAATACCCAGTATTAAAGGCAAAGCATTTTTTAGAAGAGTTTTTTTGGTCGAGTAAGGCCAATGAAGTCCGTTAATTGGAATACGCGGTAAAAATATTCTCATCAGTAACGTATTTTTTCAGGATGTCTAAGTTCGGCAAGGACGGTGGTGAGCACTGAATAGACCAAACTGCGTATGCGCTCTCTTTATATTTTTGAAGAGGCGACTGTCGTTAGCTGTATCCATGTCTCCATGTGGTGTGTATAGCGCACTCAATAAATAAGGCAGCACGACAGTGCAAAAAGCAATCCTAACTCTCGATCAACATGAGCGCGGAGGCTGGGTGTATGGCTCGGTTCATGCTGATCCAACGCATACGAGAAAGCATTATTGCTGCATGTATCGCTCAAACTTCCAACTTTCGTGGCGTACGAGTGAAGATATTGAGAAATTCCACGATGTTTGCTGTAGTGTCGTGAGTGACTGACGGGTGCGGTCGATTGCATTGGCGGAAATTCAAAAAAGGGAACTCGGGTCTTTCCTTGATCCAATATTAAACGATCATATTTATATTTGGGGGAAACAAATACAGTGAATGTTTCCTAAATGTTATATGCATAACGCAGCTTTGTGCGTGTATTTTGGTGTCATTTGCGATACCAGAAGAAGATTTCGCCACCGAACCCCACTGCCAAACTGCTTGGAATATCCTGGATCGAGTAAAACGTGTTTGGGACAAAACTTCGACAAGTAGTAGATCATCGTTAATACCCTTCAAAAAAAAAAGTGGAATATAAGTGTACAATGCGGGAAAATGTACAACTTGATTCAGGTTATTTTTTTAGTTTTCGCGCTTGTGAGCATAAGAACCGGGAACTCGTATTAAGCGGGGACGTATCAACGGGGTTTTTATGCAGTTTAGGTAATGGGCAGAGCGTCGAAATAGGCTTGAGTTCTTCCAATACAGAGTACGGTGTGTTCTGCCAGCCACGTCTTATAGCACTAAAGCGCATGCGATCGCGCATGTTATTGTTTACGTGCAGCCCCGACGCGGTGGTCTATATAAGTGGCTAAGGTATACTCAACTGCTGACCCGCAGGTCGTGGGATCGGATCCCGGCTGCGGCGGCTGCATTTTCGATGGAGGCGAAAATGCTGTAGGCCCGTGTACTCAGATTTGGGTGCACGTTCAAGAACCCCGGCCAGGTAGGTGGTCGACATTTCCGGAGCCCTCCACTACGGCGTCTCTCATAATCATCATGGTGGTTTCGGGACGTTAAACCCCACATATAAATAATGGTTTACGTGTATCAATGAGAAAAAAGATCAGCACACGCCACCATTGAGCGGAACGGTGCTAATCTTTCTTCCGTTCGTACTGTACATGTCTGTGTACACATACGAATATACGTTTGTGTATGCATTGTCCACCGACCACGTTGCACCTTATGTATACAACCACAGCGGCGGTAGGAAAGTATACCGTTGGAGGTCTGTGCTTTGCGGCAAGCCGATGAGACGTCATACGCCACCGCACTTTAGCGTCTGCACCGGTCCTGATGAGTAACCATGTATAGCGATACATAGTTTCTTTTGTTTGTAAGCTAATACAATAGCACACCTCTCATGTGACAACGGTAAATAATGAAGACTTACTATATATGGCACTACAGCAGCTATAGGGGCGTGCCATGAGGAGGAGGGTGGGTTGGGAGTGCAAATTTACCCCTCCAAAAATTTTCAATTTTGGAAGTGTACCTAAACACACGCACAAACATACAAAAGGTATAATCCCCCCTTCCTCCGAAAAAAATTCTGGCTACCTTACTTGGTACTGATACTGCTCAATGAAGAAATCACAGCGCAACTTGACTACGTTGAGGAAATGTCAATATCCTTATTCCGTCGTTGCAAATGTCGGCATCTCT